GGGAAAAAATTTTTGTAATCTATCCATCTGACAAAGGGCTAATATCCAGAATTTACAAAGAACTAAAACAGATTTATAAGAAAAAACAAACAAACGAACCATTCCACAGTGGGCAAAGGAAATGAACAGGCACTTTTCAAAGGAAGACATTTATGAGGCCAACAAACATATGAAAAATGTTCATCATCACTGGTCATTAGAGAAACACAAATCAAAACCACATTGAGATACCATCTCATGCCAGTCAGAAAGGCAATCATTAAAAAATCTGGAGACAACAGATGCTGGAGAGGATGTGGAAAAAGAGGAATGCTTTTACACTGTTGGTGGGAGTGTAAATTAGTTCAGCCGTTATGGAAGACAGTGTGTTGATTCCTCAAGGACCTAGCAATAGAAATTCCATTTGACCCAGCAATCCCATTACTGGGTATCTATCCAAAGTATTATAAATTGTTCTATTATAAAGACACATGCATATGTGTGTTCATTGCAGCACTGCTTACAATAGCAAAGACCTGGAACCAACCCAAATGCCTGTTGGTGATAGACTGGACAAGGAAACTGTGGCACATATACTCCATGGAATACTATGCAGCCATAAAAATGATGAGTTCGTGTCCTTTGTAGGGACATGGATGAACCTGGAAACCATCATTCTCAGCAAACTGACACAAGAACAGAAAATCAAACACCACATGTTCTCACTCATAGATAGGTATTGAACAATGAGAACACATGGGCACATGGAGGGGAGCAGCACACACTGGGGTCTGTTGGGGGGAATAGGGGAGGGACAGCGGGAGGGTATGGAGGTGGGGGAAGGATAACATGGGGAGAAATGCCAGATTTAGGTGACAGGGGGATGGAGCCAGCAAACCATATTGCCCTGTAGGTACCTATGCAACAATCCTGCTTGTTCTGCCCATGTACCACAGAATCTAAAGTGCAATATATATATATGAAATACACATCACTATGTGTGCATGGGAATGTCATCTCATTTCAAGAAGACTAAAATATTCCAATGATGTGCTTTAGTGCCATTATTTCTTGAATTTCTTTTTTCTGTTCCTGTTTACATCCTCACCATCACTGATTCAGGTCCCCTTTACCTAGGTGAAAAAATAAATAAGATGGGAAGAGTAGCAAAACAGGTGACATAAACGTAAGATCTACTGAGGAACAGTGTTGGAAAAGTATCTTCCATACGTTTTCAAAATCTCCTCATTTTACAGAAAGGGAAACTGAGGCTATGAGTTGGAATATAACCCACCCAAGGTCACCAGTGAACTAATAGCAGAGATAGGATTTAAACTCCAAATTTCTAGGCATCTACTTCAGTACACCATACAGCTTGACTAATATCTCTTAGGATGTTTAGAAACTGCATCATGTGCTATTCTTTTTATAGGAAAAAAAAATTATACCGAAAGAACCCAGCACACCATAGAAGGATATCAACAATAGGTGTAGGTTACAATGAGCTAGGCACTCTCTCCTCATATTATCCCTCTGATCACTTTACTGGTCAGTGGCATCAATTCATCTGCTCATTCAGTTAGTTTTTATGGTAAGTAGGCATTTATTGAATACCAAATTAATAAAGGCCCTTTGCTGGGCATTGTTGCCTACAATTCAGTAATGAGTTGTAGCAAGGGCACACAGCAAGCTAGATGAGATATAACTAAGTATAAATACAATAAAAATGTATTCATTTTTATGGGTGCTGTAACAAATTACCAACACATTACTGACTTAAAATTATTCAATTTTATTATCTCCCAGTTCTGGGGTCAGAAGTTCAATATTAGTTTTATAGGGCTAAAAATCAAGATGTTGGCAGGACTGTTCCTTCTTGAGGCTCTTGGGGAGAATTCATTCCTTCCCTCTTCCAGCTTCTGGGGACAGTTTGCATTCTTTGGCTTCTGGCCTTATCAGTCCAGTCTTCAAGATCAGTATCTTTAAATTTCTCTCTGCACCATCTTCCCATCACCCTTTCTGCCATATGTATAGAATCTCCATCTCTCTCTTGTAAGGATACATCTGAATACCTTTAGGGCCCATTAATCCAGGATAATCTCCTCATCTAAAAATCCTAAATGCAATCACATCTGCAAAGTCCCTTTGCCATGTACAGTAATATATTCACATGTCCCAGGAATCAGGACACACACATCTTTGGGGAGATATTATTCAGTCTACTGCAAAAGGTATAAAAGCTTAAAAGGGAAAAGTGGAAGACACAGGTACAGATCTGGGAGGCAACTGGCTGAATGAGAGTGGGAACTGGAGCTAGGGTTTTTCTCTTAATAACACCAACTGGCCCATATGGAGTTCAGAAACAAGACCAAGATCTATTCAGTATTGTCCTCAACCGCTCATTAGTAATACTAGCCAATTATACTGTACATAGCTGGGGAAGTTGATACCCAGTGAACTGTCAAGTTTTAGTCAGGCTTCAGTGAAAGGTTTGAGGATACAGGTTGTATGCATTGCTTGACTTTTGATAGGAAAAATGTGTAGTGGAAATTTGATTGCCAAATGTTAGTCCACATTTTTATGGCTATCATGAGACAATGAGAAGTGGAAGATGCTAGGTGGGATGCTTCTTATTTGCTTTCTCTCCATTGATTGATAAGAGTTCCTTGAGAGTAAGTGTGGGCCTTTTCCATCTGTATGTCATGGGAACTAGCCAGGTTGTTTCCTAGCACAGGTGTCCAGTGAATATTTGTTTACCTCTTGAATGGCTTTCTTTTCCTGGGAAGCTTGTAACGCAAGGGTATTCCTTATGGTGATGACATTTTAGGAGGCAAGCAGCTAGATGAGGTAAATTCCCATGATCAAGGTTTCTGGGATTATGTTTCCACACAGGCAGAAGCTAGAAAGGTCTATCTTAGAAAGGTTTAATCCCCCTACATCCATTATTGTCCCTTTCCCCACTACAGAGGCTGTTAACCAGCACAGAGAGTATTATTATTGTTGTCGTCATTGTTATGATAAAGAGGGATAATTGTAGCAATCAAAATATGCATTCTTGTCTATATTGTCAACAGTGTCCCTATCTCTACATATAGTGCATAGGAAGAACTGGCCCTTGTTTTGAAAGTCTCTAATCTGAGCTCATCAGGATAGGCCTTGTGCAAAGTAAAGGAGCCTGCTTCTAAAGCAGGAGGCCAGGTCTTTTTCGTTGAGTCTGGTTAACCATTGGCGATCTGGTTCTGCCTGCAGCAAGGGTAATGGGTCAATGATTTTCACAGGGCATCTGGGACTATTTTTATTTCATTTGGGGAGGGAAAGTGAAACAAATATTTACACAGCCCTTGTTATGGGCCATACATATATCATCCCATTGAATCCTTTCTGAAATACTTTTCTTCTTGTGGCGATTTGACAGGAATACTGAGTCTCCAAGGTGACAAAGTGACCTGCTCAAGGTTTTCCTTCCAGTTTTGAGTTGGTTATGTCCTCTAAAGTCTCCTGTCAACTATTGCATACCCTGGAAGGATGACTAGGAGCAGAAGAAGGCAATGAGAGGTGGAAAAAGAGGAGGTGGAATGAGATGTGAGGGAAGCCCCAAGTCAGATTTCTGCATGAGGCTGACCAGGCTATCCTAGAAGCCAGGCGGTAGCCTAGCTGGCTTGTCAGTTGCAACTTTACAGAATAAACTTGTTCGGGTCCATTCATTTGTCAGGAATGGTTGCTTTTCCGTCTTCAGGTTGGATTTCGAGGGTCTTTTCAGGGGAGTGCTGCCTCTTACAACTGCCTCCATTGTACACTGATATTTTTAAAGAGTGCTGAAGTGATTTGTGTGGCTTTTTTTTTTCCTGGCATGTTTTACAAATTTATTAGCATAATGGCCAGGTTGATTAGCCTAATTTGTCTATTTCAAAACAGTTGTGTGTGTCCATTAAGCCTTCCTGGAAAATTCTCACGTCAGTCCTTTCCACTTCAGGAACAGGGGTCAAATGCAGGGTTTATCGCTCAGAAAGCATACCCTGAAGGAGGCAGAGGTTCTTGGTCCTAGTACACACCTCGCAAGAGAGGAGAGAAAGTACCATTCAAATTTCCCTGACCACCTCACCTCAGCTGGGTCTTTCCTCAAGGGTCCCAAGCTAGTTGCTTGGAAGCATTTGATTATCGTGCTAATTAAAAGGGCGGGGAGGGGTGGTTAAAAATTCACACTGTGGCCAGGCGCGGTGGCTCAGGCCTGTAATCCCAGCACTTTGGGAGGCCGAGGCGGGTGGATCACAAGGTCAAGAGATCGAGACCATCCTGGTCAACATGGTGAAACCCCGTCTCTACTAAAAATACAAAAATTAGCTGGGCATGGTGGCGCACGCCTGCAGTCCCTGCTACTCAGGAGGCTGAGGAAGGAGAATTGCCTGAATCCAGGAGGCAGAGGTTGCGGTGAGCTGAGATTGCGCCATTGCACTCCAGCCTGGGTAACAAGAGCGAAACTCTGTCTCAAAAAAAAAAAAAAAAAAAAAAAAAAAAAAAAAAAAAAAAATTCACACTGTGATTAACATATGAGGAATCTGCCCTCCTAGGGGTGTCGCAATCACCGGGAAACTGCTAGGAGTGGATTGAATGGATACAGGAAAAAGTTGCCGACGTTGGTCGCGCCTTCCCTTGCCACCCTGCCCTGCCTCCCAAGACTGGTGTGAGGCAGGGCCCGAAGCGAAGGTGTGGTACTCCGCGGGGCGCTCGGGTGTCCCGGCTTACGGCGATTTACTCCCAGGAGCTCAGCAATTAGGCTGATGAAATGTTTGGATAGCAAGTTGTAGCTTGGCGGACCAAGCCAGGATACTCTATCTGTGCAGGCAGCGCGGGGAGGCCTTTAGCTGGCGGCGGGATCGACCAGCCTTTGCAGTCCAGAGCCCTAGCTTGAGCGCCACCACCTCTACCCCTCGCGCGCCGCCCGCCCAGTCTCGAGGTTGTCCCAGTCCGCCTCTAGGAAGCGCGGGAGGGAGTAGGAGTCCGCCTTTGGCCAGCCTACTTCTGGCAAGCTGGAGTTTCAACCCGAGCTTAGGAATTGGGGCCCCTCCCACCTTCGTTTGCCTCATCGGCTCCGTCTTCCGCCAATTGTGACCCGCAGAACTCGCCGCCCCGACGGCCAGTTGCTGGCTAGAGGCAGCGACCAGGAGTGGCTTGGTTGAATTAGGATCTCCTCGGCCCCTAGCGCTAGGCCTCCTTTTTCCTGGAGCCATCCAATCCGCTTCTCGCAGTTTCCCATGCGCCTCCGCCAGCTCTCCCAGAGGTGCCCATGACCTGCTGAGGGAGGCGCCCCCACACCCCCCGTGAGGTGCGGCGGTGGGCCCGGGACGATTGAAGCCACTTAGCAGCTCTTTCGCTCGGGCTGGCTAGGCGGCGGGCAGCGGCGCTCCGCCGCAGTGGCGCACCCTCAGAAGCCGCCGCCCTACAAGCTGCCACCCGACAGCCTGCCCGCTAGCCAGGCAGCCCTTCAGTGGGTCGGTTCCACTCCCGGCTACGTGAGACTCAGGACCTCTAGCCGGCCTGCAGTCCGCAGCTCTGACCGCCCTGTGCCACAGCATGGCCCAGAGAGCGCAGAAGAGGTGCGGAACCACCCACTTGCTGGTCCAGTCGTCCGACGAAGCACTGCCACTCGCCACAGGAAAGGTAACTCCCGCTACCATCTCCCTGACGAAGCTGTGCCTGCGCTTCCAGGGGACGTCCCAATTTTGCCACTGGCTCTGGGAAAGGGTCAGAGACCTGGGCTAATCTGGGATCCTGACAGGGATGGCTGGAGCACGCCAGGGTACGGGGATGAAAGACGACGCCTGCTTGGCACTACCCATGGCCCGACAGCCGGTTTAAATGGGTCACGAAAACAGCTCACGGATTTAGGGATTTGAGGGGAAATTTTTGATGAGTTTTCCGTGGGGACGATGGTGAAATGAAGAGAGGAGACCGGATGAGGAGCCGAAGGCAGTGCGTGGGGAAGCTGCCATTGGCAGCACTGTTCTCTACACTGCGGGCCCCTACCTAGGGCGGCAGGACACTTCAACGCCACCCTGAGGTGCTCCTTTCCTCCAAGTGCGACATAGGGGCTGAAGGACACAGGATAAATGCCCTTCTGTTGGCTCAACTCTCGAGTTAGAGAGTGGTAGCCTCCAGTGACAAATACCACGATTTTGTGGAAAGTAAGGCCAAGTTCAAACTGTCTGTATGCAGGAAGATGAAATTTGAATGGGTGGAGAGCAGGGTCAGAGAGTGAATGGGGCGCGGGGGGGGGGGGTGCTGTCTTCAAACATCTGCAAAGCGCTCAAGTAGAAAATGATCAGGTTTGTTCTGTGTAGCCCCAGAAAGGAGCACCAGGATGGGTTGGAAATCAGGGTGGAAGTCAACAAGAGGAAGAATTAAGCTTACTACAAGGAAGCACTTTCGAATATTAGAGAGGAGTGCTTTTACTTTGTATTAGGTACTTTACAGAGTACTTTGCATAAACTATTTCACTTAACACTTACATGATTTTGATCTGTTCAGTGACAAAATGGTCAGGGAAGTAGTGGGATGTGGGTCACTAGAGGCCCTTAAGCAGAAAAGAGGTTTAAGACCCATCTAACTGCTGTATTGTAGGGAATATTCAGACCTCATATGGGGATTTGTACTATGTGACTAATAGGCCTTTCCAAATCCTGAGAATTTGGAATTCTAAATTAAGGGACCAAGGGTGTATTTTTATTTTTTTAAGAGCAGAAATAATCTGAGACCCTGGAGGATCTCTGGTCCACACTCCTCAAGTACTTATTCTGTGATTCCTTTTACGTGTGTTGAAGGCTGAGGCTTGGAAAGAAATTGTCACATTTAGGCAGCTTACAAAAGCACCCTCCCTATGGGTGACTACCAGCTTGGCTGAAATGCACATTTAACTCCACAATAATTGTTCAGCTGGGCACAAGAGAGTTGATTGGTTCAATCTGGGTAGCTGGAGGTACCTTCTTTTGACAAGGAAAGGACCTTCGGGGGATGGTGAGAGCAGCCTGGTAGTCAAGGACAGGATGTTTGAAATAGAGAAAAATATGTCCCTTGCCTTGTTAAAGGAGACACTGTGCTCATTTAGGCTGAAGCTCTTCCTGATCCTTGGTTATGATGAGGTTAATGACAACTTATTGTTGATTTGATGGAGTTAAAAGAGGCTGGGACCAAAGAATTGACAGGTTCTGTCACCCACTAGCATTGTGACTTCAGGGAAGTGCTATCACCTCTCTGACCCTCAAGTTCTCCATCTATAATGCCAGGGGGTTGGACTTTAATGGAGTATGTCAAAAGATCCCTTTCAACCTGCAAAAGTAAAAATTAAAACAAGCTAAGTTTTGATGTCTTGCATACTCATATTTGGAGGGGTTGTAGAATCAGAGCTCCATAATGTTATGAAGATGGGCCCCTGCAGGAGAACTGAAATGCCAACCCCTTTTTTATTTGGCTAAAATGTGACTCTAATGTCCATTATTTGAGATAAACTTTAAATGGCTGCAGTGTTTCCACACTGCCAAGGTCCCAAAGGATAAAATCTCAGGGACCACTTTGCTGTCATTTGGATTTTACTTTAGCAGTTACATTGGCTTTCTGGTTACTGCCAAGGGAATTGCCTTGACCTGTTGTGAAGAACTACAGGGTATCTGCTGGTGTGGTGCATTTTGCTGAACAGCTGGAGAGAAGAGCAGAGAGGACTGTGTAAAATAAGCTCCTGCCCAGAGAAGATTTTATGTGTGTTGGGGGAAAAGTGGATATAATGACCATATTCCAAGGCAGAAAGACAAAAGTGCTTATGAGGTTCAGAAAAGGCAAAAGCCATGTGGAACAGTAAAACATATTCTGGATTAGAAGTTTGGGAGCCAAGGGTTCTACTTTCAGATGGTCATCTAGGAATGCTCAGCCTGAGCCTGAAACTTTAAGGCCTCCTAATATAAAATGAGTATTTCTGGTTTGAATGAATACTTAAGAGACATTTGTGGTGGGCCTTAAAGGTCTGTAGGACAGGTTTACACTAACATTGTTGGATAGCAGAGGCTGGAGCAGAGCTTTCCTGGGCAAATGAGTAACATATGTGCCTTTGTGGAGGCAAGGAGATGCTGGATATGCAGGGGACAACTAATGGCTAGTGTGCCTGCTAATCCAGAAAGGGGAAATAGAGGTTAAGATTGCAAAGGGAGATCTTGAACACCAGGCCCAGGCATTCTGGACTTGCTCCTCAAAAGGGAATAGCAACCATGTCTAGTTTGTGAGCCAGGGAGTGCTGATGAGCAAATAGCCATAACATGGAGTAGAGCCTCCTATAATGAATGATGCCTTACCCAATTTCCATTCTCCTCAGGCATTCAAGGAATGGCAGTCATTGCCTCTTGGAAAACTGATGGTTGATGGACAGAGGGTATAGTGAGAGATGCAGGGAAGGCAAGGGAAGAGAAAGCCTTCTTTTGGATCATGTGGCTTCATGATGAACCCCATTCAGACCAAGAGTTTGAGACTACCACAGGGACCAAGAGTAGATCTAGATTTCTTAGGTGGAGCTGGTGATATTGGAGAATCCCAGCCAATCCTACTTCAGAGATGGAAAGAACTTTGACCTGGGAGTCAGGAAACTGGTTCTCAGGTCCCCTTCCCTCTCGGAGCCTCAGTTTCTGTCTACCTGTATGGGATTGGGAGAAATTGACTTGGATGATTTATCAGGCTTTTTATAGCTCTAAAGATATTGGAAACCATTATACAATTTGGATCCTCCATGTATTATCTATTTTGGATCAAGAGGCTTTGTCCAGAATTAAACTAATAAGGCTGGGAACTGTTTTGAACTCAGGGCTTAAGAAAACACTGTTGTACTGGAAGGTGGGAGTAGGTGGAGGGAGGACAGGACCAGAGGTAGTGCATACAGTTCTCCCTGATTTGTAGTTTCCGGAACAGTAGCCTTGTGTTGCTAGGTGTTGTTGCCTTTGGAAAATGATTTCCCTCCCTCCCAGGGTGAATAATTTCTTTGGTAGAGAAAGATCAGCAGGAGTGTCAATGTACTGAATTATTTGGGTGAATAATTTCTTTGGTAGAGAAAGATCAGCAGGAGTGTCAATGTACTGAATTATTTGGATATTTTCTTTGTCCAACCTCCTTTTTCCTCTCTCCTTTACTTTTGTCCCCCACCAACATTTCTCTCTCAGATTTCCAGTGAACACTGCTCCACTCAGAACACGTAGCGCATGGAGGCTTTTCTTCTCTTTCTACCTGGAAAGGGTAGCTCCTGGGCTCTTTCCCTTGTGTCTATCAAGTGAACTCCAAAGCCACTTTCATCTTCCCTTTCTAGCACAGAATGTACACCATTTCATCCCGAGTTTACTTAGCTGTGAATCTTTATAATCAACAGTAATAATGTCTTTTATTATTGCTTATTATGTTTTTGAAAATAAGAAATACACATCAAAAACCAAGATGAATAAATGGATAAACTGATGAATAAATAAATAAATGATTATAAATGATAAAAGAAATAATCAAAGAATGAGAAATAGAAAATAAAAACATAGAGAAAAATAAGTAATATACAATCGTGTGGTAAATTATCCAAACTATACAGAAGTATAATAAAATAAAAAGGAAAAGTTCCTTTCATTCTTGTTCTTATTCCAAATTTCCCTCCCCAGAGACAACTATATTTCATAGTTTTCTGTATATTCTTCTGGTCCTTTTTCTTTGTGTGTCCAGAAATACATACATACATATACACCTGATAGTTTTATTTTTAAATTTAATGGATTCCACTTATACATTTGATTTTGCATTTGCATTTTTTAACTTCACAATATATTTTGGAAATCTCTTCATGTTGGCATACAGATCTACCTCATTTTTAAAAACAACTGCATAATGCATTTAAACTTTCCTTCTTGATGAGCATTTAGGTGGCTGATGGGTACCTCTTTGGCTATTATCTATGAGCATGTGAGTACGTACATATTTCTGTAGAGTAGATTCCTATAAATGAAATAATTGTGCCAAAGGGGTTATGCTTTAAAATTCCAGTCCCCCGACATTTTATTACAGACATTTACAAACATACAGAAAAGTCTAAAGAATTGTATAGTGAACTTTCATATATGTACTACCTAGATTCCACTATTAATACTGAACTTTCTTTGCTTTATCACATATCCATCTATCCATGCCTTTATATATTCATCAAGCCATCTTTTAACTGTGTACATATTATGAATGAAACGTGGCATTTGTAGTCATTTGAATTTTCTTTACTACTATGGAGGTTGAATAAGGAAAATATGCTTATTGGCCATTTATATTTCTTTTTTGGCTGAAAATTCTCTCTTCATATTCTATGTCTATTTGTCTAGCTTGTTTGTGTTTTGCCTATAGATCTGTGGAAGCTCTTTCATTTGTAGTAGGTGATGGCAATATTGCAGAAAATATGTTTTCCAAAACACTATTATTGCTTATTGAAACCTCTGAAAATCACTCCTTTTCTACACTCTTCACATCTTCTACTTCTTGGTCCCAGTATTCCTCACCTGGACAAGTACCACAGTGATCTTTTAAAAACAAATCAGATGTTGACACTCCGCCACTTAAAGCCTTTCAATGGCCCTGCATTGCATACAGCAGGGGTCCCCAACCCC